CGGCCGATTTTCGCGGCAATGATGGCCAAATCGGACGATCTTTTTACTGATAAAAAAGTCTGCGCATGAGCAGTGACCTGCAAGAGGAAGACAAAAAGAAGGAGGGAAGAAGAGAGAAGAAGAAGAATTCCAGTCCGGCAAAAAATGTCCCTGCAGAGAGCTCCGCTATTTCTTTGACAGTTCCTTGACATTTATAGCGGTTGCAACATTGTATCTATTCGTTTCTGAATAAAAACATCTGTATCCTAAATGGATACAAATACATTGTTGCAACCGCTATAAATGTCAAGGAACTATCAAAGAAATAGCAGAGCTCTCTGCAGGGACACTTTTTGCCGGCTGTAGACGGGATGAAAATCGGCCGATTTTTTTTTTACCGTTGCTGGTAACGTTGGCCGCTTGAACGACCGATTTTTCGTTTTTTTTAAAGAAAAATCAGCCGATTTTCGACCCGTCTATGGCCTGCATAAGCCCATATAATGTTCAGCTGTTCTAGAAGGATATTTACTCAGTTGCCTCCTACAGCAAATGCCAGGGTCCGAATAAGCTTACGATGTTTCAAAGGGATCTCATTTTTTGAAGGTATCAGTCAGAAAAAGGGTTAAAAAAAAATTTCAAGGCATTAGATATACCATGGAACACAGTGAAGAAGGTCAACTATGACTGGAGAAAAAAAAAAATGGTACAACAGTATGATTACCAAGACTGGACATTCTTCCAAAACCGATGAAAAAAGTGGTCTGGGATGCTGCAAGAGGTCTACAGCAACATTACAGTTACAGGAATTTCTGGCAAGTACTGGTTGTATAGTACATGTGACAACAATTTCCTGTATTCTTCACATATCTGGACTGTGGGTGGCAAGACAGAAGCCTTTTCTTGCTAAGAAAAATATCCAAACTCAGCTAAATTTTGCAAAAGCGATCTGATGAGAACAAGATCAAACTTTTTGACCATAATTCCAAAAACGTATGTTTGGTGCAAAACCAACACTGCGCATCACCAAAAAAATACCATATCCACAGTGAAGAAAGCATTATGTTTTGGGGTTGTTTTTCTTCAGCTAGAACTGGGCTTTAGGCAAACATTCAAAATTTACAGCGCAGAATTTACATAGGACCTCTCAGCTCTGAAAAGAAGGAGAGCTAAAATTACATCAGTGAGAACTCTGACAGCTGATTGGAGGAAAGGGACACACCCCCTTTACACAGCACACAGGAACAAAGCTGAGGCTGTAAATCACAGGCTGTGCCCTCTACTGTCACCATTTTTCTCTTGGTGTCAGGAAAACTCATTAGAAGTGACTCCTGCTTATAGCAGAAGAGCAAAGCAGCAGACAGAAATGACACTTAGTGCTATGGATTGAGACAAGCACGCACTATACAGGGATATGCTTTTTTTTTATATTTCAGGTTTACAACCACTTTAATGCATTCTCTGCACTAAGTTAAACATCCCACTAGCTCTTCAACACCCCCCTTTCCTAAATACCTAGCTTTTCTAACGATCCAGATCTGTCCTGTATGCAGTACCACTCCACTGACTTTCTGGTCTCAGGATACATAGGCTCCTGCTGCTGTCAGTCAAACCCTGTGAAGAGGGAGCAGGGGGTGTGGCTAAGCCACGCTGTTTCCATCTATGGACGTGCACAGCCCAGCTCAGGAGCATGCCCACACAGGTGCCCCCATAGCACACAGCTTGCTGAGAGAGCACCCCGAGAAACAGGATATGGGGAAAGCCAATGAAGGGGTAAGGGACTGCTCTGTGCAATACCGTTGTACACAGCAGGTAAGTATACTATTTTAATGAAATAAAAAACAAAATAAAACTAAAAATGTACCCTTTATTATCACTTTAAATTTGGAAAGGAAAATAAGAAGTGATTTATCTTGGTCTGCTTTTTTTTTTTCTTTACATATCTTATAAAACTGGCATTTTTTACAGGGGTGTGTAGACTCTGTATATCTAGCATGTACTGTATGTATATACAGACACACACACACAGACTATAGAGCTACTTTATCCACTCATTTCTTGTGACTCAAAATTTTGGCAGCACACAATGTAATTTATTGCACCAATGTTGGCAGACGAAGCCCTGGAAGATGACCCTAGGGTAACATCTCACATCCTGGAATTAAATGTGGTACAGTAAAGCATATCTGCAGGCAGAACACTCAAGTGCTCAATGCCACAACTGTGTGAAGATACATAAATGGGCAGTCTGATTGTGATGGTCTTCTGACTGAGCAAAGATTCATTTACCACCCCAAGGGTAAATGCAGCTTTCTGAAAAGCTGTGGAGGGGTGTCCTAAGCTGGTACTTGCAGAGTAAAAAAAAAAAAACAAAAACCAATTTAGTTTGCAGATCATCTACAAACCTAAGCTGAAGTATATGGAAATTTTGAAGCTTGTACATCACTCCGCCTAGACAGAAATCTAGCTAGTTCAGTTGTTAGTGCCATGCAGACGTGGCACTAGGGTGCTCTGCCAGCGATCAAAAACACAGATAGAACGCTACATCCTGCACATCACATCACCATACAAGCATGTTATTCATGCAGTTATTAAATGGATGCTGTTGGTGACTGAAGGTTCCTGTAAAGATAGTAAACATTGATCTCTCCCACAGCCCAGTGCTGCAGAACACCATGCTAATGAAGAGAGTTTACGGTCTTTCGTGTCTGCAATGGACACTTTCACGCATTTCGATCTCCTGCTGCACTCAGTGGTTCCTATCCCGAAATCACTACAAGGCGCAGTAGTGGCTTAAGGATCAGCAAAAAGGAACCAGGGAGTGCAGTGGGGAACCAGAAAAGAAGAGACTTCAAGTGTAAATCTAAAACCCAAAAAAAACTTTTATTTTGGTTTTAGATAGAGTGGTAAGGGATTAGTACCCCTGTCGAATTAGTTCTTTCTGTGCCCCCAGTGGGAAAATCTACTCTAGCCATCCTGGTGACCACTATCACTGGGAATGAGAGTAAGGGAAAAAAACTAAATTTGGAGTTGCCACCAGAACAAGAATAGTGAAAAATCTTCCCATGGGGACACAGATGGAAGAAACATGGTAGAGTTCTACTCTAACCAAAATAACAAAAAAAGTACTTTAGTTATATTTTAAAGCCGATCTCCAGCTTTTGGTGAAGTTTGGATAGATCAAGCTGGTCCAAATTAACTATTTACTTTACGAAAACATGCAGTGGCTCTCAGTATGTAGTTGATGACTATTTATCATCAACTACATACATTATACATTGCTGTATTTCAGCAGTGGGATGAGAACTTCTCTTTCCACTCCCAGAACAAAATCAAGTCAGGTTGAGTGGTTCAACCTGGACACGGGATTAAACGTTCCTTCCCACCCAAGGCACTTGGGAACCTTCAAACTCCAGGACCTGATCCAGAGTTACAAAACCCTCCCAATAAACATGCCAGAGCCTCTCAAACTGTACCTTTGAGAGAGAATCCTGTGTCCTTTTTACTAGTGGTACACCGAAATGAAAATTCTGGTGCCGAAACCGAAAATTCAAAATGCACTTGGCTGAAAACCGAAATTGAAATGCGCAGGTTTTAAAAATTAAAATATATTTTATGGAAAAAAATACACTTTGATTAAAAAAAAATATATATATCCCAATTTTTTGGTAAAATATGAAAGAGGATGTTACGGCGAGCAAATAGATAGCCAACATGTCATGCTTTAAAATTGCGCACGTTAGTGGAATGGCGTGGAACTGCGGCACTAGAGGAGGTCTAGTACGAGCATTGTTGCGGTTGCTTGGACGTTCGTGGCGATACCTCACGTGTGTGGTTTGAACACCATTTACATATGTGGGCATGGCCTACATATGCGGTCACCACTACGTGCGAGCACAGGGGGACGGGGGCACTTAAAATTTTTTTTTTTGCACTGTCCCTTTAAAAAAAAATTTTTATCACAAGAAATACATGCATCCCTTGTGAAATAAATAATTAGTGACAGGTCCTCTATATGGAGAGATATGGGGTCAATAAGAACCCACATCTCTCCTCTGCAATGTAAAGCATTGGATCAAAAAAAAGCATTGATCTAGTGCTTTAAAAAAAAAAAAAAAAAACACGTCCGGAACCGGAAGGGACATCGCTCCGGTCCTCCAAGGGCACAGAGATGAGTGGAGGCCATCTTTCCTTCACTCATCTCTATGCCCAGCACCGAGATCGTTCGATGGTTTCTCAGGTAAGGCTGAAAACTACCAAGCGGCGGTTGGTGGCAGGGGGCGAGGGCGGGGTTTTTCGGCACCTGTATCGGTGCTTATTTTCATTTCGGCCGAAAGGGGTATCTTCAGCCACCGAAATTTTGGTGCATCCCTATTTTTTACATAAATTTACTAAAGCCATACAAAGCAGTGTGCAGAAGCTGACAGGTGAGAGATCTGTATTGTTTACATACAGGTCTCTCCCCTGTCGGTGATACTCTGCTCGGTGATTGACAAACGAGGCCATGAATTACGGCGTGGGTAGGGCATCCGCACCCCCTACCCAGAAATGCAAAGTCAAATATATACGTGATTTTGCACAGCCATGCCGCACTGTAGCTGTATTTCTGCTATGGGGCAGCACGGAAGCGGTTATCTTAACACAGTGGCAATTGCTCTCAGGCTGCTGGCTCCTAGATTGTGGTCCCGCGAGCTGGAAAATCTTTGTGCAGGTTGCAGCTGAGATTGTCATTGTTACGAAAGTGACAGCACAGTGTGAGATTGGCCATTCCTTTGTCACGAGTTGGTGAGAAGGGCAGGGGTCTGACATCCGCATTCATCACATTGTTCATGTAGACTTCTGAAAGTACATGTTATGTACTAGATGCACTTTCTGCATGTGCTCTTTTTTTTTTTTTTTTCATGAAAGGTGTCAACTAACAGGTTCTCTCTGCTGAAAGTGAAATGTACAACTACCATTCTGACATTTGTTGAATCTGAAGCTTCTTAGTAAAAAATAATAGGAAATAAAACATATTTACTCACCCTACATTTAGATGGTCTACCAAAGCTTCTGTCAGCGTTGTAGCTGCTGCAATGGCTTCCTTCCTTCTTTTTTCTGTTAAAAACAAACAATACATAATTTAAAATTCCTGATAACTACACAAACTGCTTCTCTGTAATTGATGTACCAAATATGGCCAGACAGATAATATGCTGTTTTCTATTTTAACCTCCCTAGCGGTCTGATTATGTCCATATTTCTGTGCTCAAAGCGGTACATTTTTTTGCATGGAAATATGTATTTTTTTTTTATTGTAGGCCTGTAATTTTTAGGAATAACTCACTGAAATCTGTCCAAACAAGAGTCTAGTAAACAAACATTACAATTTTAAACACAAAATCATAAAATTATAATTTAATAAATAATCATAAAAAATAATAATATAATAATAATAAATTTAATTCACTAATATAATCAAACCAAAAACACTGAAATTTGAAATATAGCGCCAAGTTCGCACATCACTGAGCAAAGTCACAAAATCGTTTTCAGTGTCAATTTCCCCACAAATCATTATCACTCAATTCTGCAAGTGGTTTTGATTTACTATCGCTGTTCTCTAGCTGGTCTAACACCGCTTTTGACCTAAAGGGACGCTTTTTGGACGCCATGGACATTTCTCAGTTTCCAGGCAAAAAGAACAGTCAAAATGCAGGCAGGGCACAGGACAAAGCATTAGGGACAAAATGTATGTGAAATGGTTTGATACAATAATGTTTTACTATGTGATTTTAATGTATTTAGTGAATGTCACTTTTTGTCATTTTCAAATTTCCCGCCGTCCCGCCGCTCGCAGGGGATGGAACCTAGATGACAGATGCCGGCATCCGCCGGAGGACATTGCCGGGGACACTGCAGGAGGGACATCGCGGGAGTGCAGGGCAAGGTAAGTGAACAGATCCCAGAGCAGCGCCACATGGCAAGCCCGAGTGTAGCTCGGGGTTACTGCTTGTGGTACTGAAACTTTACCCCGAGCTACACTCGGGAATACCGCCAGGGGGGTTAAACAATGCTTTCTAACAGCTCACGAACATGAATAAATACATATGTCTAGGCAAGGCCTGCACACATGCTCTAGAACAGTGGTGGTGAGCCTATGGCACGTGTGCCACAGCGGGCACACAAGGCCCTCTGTCGGCAAGCGAGCTAAGTCGCCCCAGCAGCCAAGCATCAGATAACAGCGCACATAGGGGCCAAGCGCAATGCTCAGGAAGGCGTAGCGGCACCAGACAATGATGTCATGAGCCACGACTCATTAGCCGCAACTCATCTGAGCTTTCGCATGGTCGGTCAGTGCGTTGCCAAGGATATATATATATTGGACTGGCTGTGAGTTTTAATACATTTGTTTTTTTTAACACAAGATGGTGCTGGTGGCCAGTGGAACTTTGCCCCCTTGTGCTGGTGGTCAGTGGAAGCTGTTATTGTGTTTTTCTTTTAGGACAAAAGATGTTAACCGCTTCCGTCCGCCCTATACAGGGCGGCATGGGTGCACAAAATCACGTATATATACGTGATTTTGCATCTCCAGGTAAGGGGCGCCCACACCTCCCGCGCCGCTGTTCATGGCCATGGTTGTCAATCACAAAACAATACAGTTCTCTCCCGTCAGCTCCTGCGCACTGCTGTGCATAGCATAGCCATGCAAAGCAGTGTGCTTACAGTGAAGCAGAAACACACAACTCCACAGTAAAACAGCACACAGTTAACTTCTTGAACGCCCGTCATGGTAACCCTTTCCTGCCCAGTGCCATTAGTACAGTGTCAGTGCTTTTTATTAGCACTGATCACTGTATTGGTGTCACTGGGGATGTCTGGGGATGTCAGTGTCACCAAGTCAGTTCCCCCCAGTGTCAGAATGCTGCCGCAGTCCCGCTATAAGTCGCTGATTGCCTCCATGACTAGTAAGAAAAAAATCCCAGTATATATACCACCATTTGTAATCACTATAAATTTCACGTAAACCAATTAATTTACACATATTGAAATTTTTTTGTTAGCAAAGACATGCAGCAGAACACATTTTGGCCTAAATTTATGACAAAATTTGATTTTTTTCATTGAACATGTTTAATAGCAAAAAGTCAAAAATATTGTTTTTTTCCCCTCAAAATTGTCATTTTTTTTTTATAGCGCAAAACATAAAAACCACGCAGGCAATCAAATACCATCAAAAGAAAGGTCTATTTGTAGGGAAAAAAAACAATAAAAATTTAATTTGGATGCTGTGTTGCATGACCGTGCAATTGTCAGTTAAGGTAACGCAGCACAAGTGGTTAATGTATGGATTGTTTTTTTCTAAACTAACCCCTCAGTATTCAGGTTTAATTGCAGTGTTGGCACTTTTCGATAAATAAGTGGGTTTTGAGTTGCAATTTGGGCACTTGGTCTCTAAAAGGTTTGCCACCACTGCTCTACAAAGCAATAATAGGGCTCTGTTCTTATATATGCAATTCTCACCCTCCACAAAAGTCATTCAAACAGCAGGACCTGGCTTCCCTTATGAAATGTGTCCTGGGACTTATGGTCACATCCTGTCGCATGAACCATGAAATGTATACATATAGAGTATTTGAGTCAGGACTGCACCACATCAGAGCAGGTACTCAACCGAAAGTATAATATTTTGGGGATCTGGTGCCTTGATAAGGGTTGCTCTCCCTCTTTGTTATTATGAACTCACAGAAGATGAGCTTTCAATTTTGTTTTATAATCAATGTAGCTCCAGTTCTACAGCATGCACATGAATCCAGCACCAGCAACTTGGGGGTTCAAATATATGTGCATTCCATGAATTTTAATACAATCCCGGCAACTGCAGATCCAAGCTGTGTGCTAGATAACTTAAACTAGATACACAAGTACTGAAATTCAATCAGTTCAGCAGGAACCAGCCGACTTTCAGAACGTCTGTACTCCTCTCTCTGTTCAACAGAAGTTAGTCTAATGACTGTCTGTGAAACTCTCCTGCTGGAAAGCCAATGACTACAGCACTGATCTATGTATTCTGACCGAGGGGGGTGTAGCCCCTGTTGTCAGAATATAATAGCGCTGTGGGGGAGACCCTGGTAAATACATTGCTTGTGTGGATGTGGAAATGTCATTTTTTTTTTTTTTTCATTCAGCTTCCTGGTTGAAAAAAAAAAAAAAGCTGTGTGTATATGATGCATTATTCCTACTTTATGCAGACTCTGTACAGTGGAGTGATCTCCTGCCCCACAGAATCTATATAGTCCCAGCAGCAGGAGGAAGAAGAGGGAGAGGGCAGCAGCGTGGGACACAGACATCTATGCAAGATAAGTGTTGTTCTTGTCTACTGAGACCAATGTTCATCGCCACTTTGCACTATAATACGCCCCCACTTCCCCTGCTGAGCATTATTGTCGTCCTGGTCCCCCAGCTGACTACGTTTGTTCACTCCACCACCCTGCTGGGCACTACTGTTTCCCACCCCACACTAGGTTCCATTATTTATAGCCCCCCCATCCCCCATTGGGCACTTTAGTTTCTCCCCACATCAGGCTTTATCATTCTCTCCAACCCCTGCTGGGCACTATTATTCTTACTCTCCAATGGGCACTATTATTTCTTGCTACCCCCTGCTGGGCACTATTGTTCTCCCCTAGCTAGGCACTACTGTTCCTTCTCACCCACACAGGCTGTTATTGATACCACCACCCCCTGCTGAGAACTACTGTTCTCCCCCTAACTGCTGGGAGCTATCCCCCCCCCCCCCCCCAGCCTCTGGCTGGACACTATTGCACCTATCACCTGCACAGCCATGCCCCCCCCCCCCCAAGAAACATTGTTGCCTCTTTGCCCCCATCTGAAATAAATGCATTCTTGAGCACCCCGTCCACCATATTAGCATGTTATCGCAGACTTACCTTGCTAATGATCCTCTCCAGTGCTGTTGTATCAGTGCTCAGTCACAAGCGCTTCCATCTTCTCCCGGTTTTCTTCTGAGTTTGGACTCTTCTGCTGCATGGTTGGCCAGGCCTAGAATGATGTCACCTCCATGCATGCACACCGGAGTCACATTGCCGTGTCACAGAACCATACCATAAATGCACGCTGAGCTATACATGCACAGCTCAGTGTACACAACACTGGCAGGTATGGGAGAAATACATAAAATTCCTCCCCGTCAGACATTTTTTAAGTTTAATTTCACTTTAACCATACACCTTTAAGCCACGCCCACTATTCCGCAGAAACTAGCCATGCCAATTTTCAGCATGGCATGCTGCACGTCTCCTCCATCCTAAATCCGGCCATACACGGGTCGAATTCCGAAAGAATATTATTTTCAAAAATCTTTTCTAAGAATTTTTGTTCAAATTTTGCACCATTAGTAGGCGACAGCAACAGCTGATTTTTGTGCGACCATTAAATTTGAGTGATTGGGCATGTTGGAAATTTTTCGAAAAATGGAACAAATTTCTAATCAATGATGAAAGAATCGCGTGAGAAATGTAACTGAAAAAGAAATGAGCATGAGCTGTGACCTGGAAAGGAAAGAAAATTCTTGGCCATGAAAATTCTTTTCTGTAGCAACATGAGGTGAAATTAAAGGCTTGGCTGGTCGAATTTCGAAATCAATGGTGGCAACATCGGATTACAAAAAAAAAAAAAAACGCACAAAATGGGCAGCACAGTGGCTAAATAGTTAGCACTTCCGCCTGGCAGCACTGGGGTCGTTGGTTCGAATCCCAGCCACAGCACCACCTGCCTGGAGTTTGCATGTTCTCCCTGTGCCTGCATGGGTTTCCTCCGGGTACTCTGGTTTCCTCCCACTCTCCAAAGACATGCTGGTAGGTTAATTGGCTCCTGTCTAAATTGGACCCAGTATGTGTATGTATGAATGTGAGTTAGGGACCTTAGATTGTACAACCCTTGAGGGTTACGGACAGATGTGAATGTACAATATATATGTAAAGTGCTGCGTAAATTGATGGAGCTATATAAGTACCTGAAATAAATAAATAAAAAAAAAATAATACATTTCTGATTTTCTAAAGAAAACTCATATGGAATTTGACTCGTGTATGGCTTCATAAGGCATCATGTTTGTCA